TACAGGCGTGAGCCACCGCGCCCGGCCTGTATCCTCTATAATAAACCAGTAAGTATGTTTGAGTTCTGTGAGCCGCTCCAGAAAATTAACTTAACCCAAAGAGGAAGTAGTATGAACTCCAGCTTGAAGCTGGTCAGTCAGAAGTTCCAGAGGCCCTGACTTGCAACTGGTGTCTGAAGTGGAGGCAGTCTTGGCGGCTGAGCCCTCAACCTGTGGGATCTGATGCTATGTCCAGGTAGATAGTGCTGGAATTGAATTGGAGGACACTTGCTTGTGTCTGCTACAGAACTGATTGCTCCCTTCGTATCTGGTGAGAAACCCCCCACATGTCTGGTCACAAAAATCTTCTGTGTTCATTGTTTTGGTGTGAGAAAATAGAAAAAGCACTTTGAGTTTGTTTTTCCACACTCATATGTATCAATAAACGATTAGAAAATGAAAATTTTTAACTATATTATTTATAGTACTATTAAAAAAACAAATACGTAGATAAAAAAATAATGAAAGGTATACAAGGCTTTGACACAGAAAACTATAACACATAACTGAGAGAAAATGAAAGAAAATTAAATACATGGGCAGATATACCACGTTGATGGATTGAAAAACTCAATATAGTAAAATGCCAATTCTACAAAAATGGCCTATAGAGTCAATGCAATCCAAGCCAGTCTTATTGACAAGCTGATTCTGAAATTTATACGGAAATACCAAAGGCTAAAAATAGCCAAGACAATACTGAAGAGTACCAAGCCTTATGATAAAGCTACAGTAATTATGAGTCTGCTGTTAGCTCAAGGATACAAATAGACCAATGCCTACAGGGAAAGTAGATGGCTCATGCCTGTAATCCTAGCACTTTGGGAGGCCGAGGTGGGAGGATCACTTGAGGCCAGGAGTTCCAGATCAGCCTGTACAAGAGCAAGACCCTGTCTCTACAAAGAGAAAAAAGAAAAGTTAGCCAGACATGGTGGCATGCACCCGTAGTCCCAGCTTCTCGGGAGGCTGAGGCAAGCGAATAGCTTGAGCCCAGGGATTTGAGGTTGCTGTAAGGTAGGCTGATGCCACGGCACTCTAGCCCAGAAAACAGAGCAAGACTCAGTCCCCCCCCCAAAAAAATGATGCTAGGTCAACTAGATATCCACATTCAAAAGATGAAACTTGATTCTTACATCTACTACTAGGCATATACTTAAAAAAAGCATACACATGTGCACCAAAAGACACGTATAAGAATGCTCACAGGCCGGGCGCGGTGGCTCACGCCTGTAATCCTAGCACTCTGGGAGGCCAAGGCGGGCGGATTGTTTGAGCTCAGGAGTTCGAGACCAGCCTGAGCAAGAGCGAGACCCCGTCTCTACCAAAAATAGAAAGAAATTAATTGGACAGCTAAAAATATATAGAAAAAATTAGCTGGGCATGGTGGCGCATGCCTGTAGTCCCAGCTACTCGGGAGGCTGAGGCAGTAGGATTGCTTGAGCCCAGGAGTTTGAGGTTGCTGTGAGCTAGGCTGACGCCACGGCACTCTAGCCCAGGCAACAAAGTGAGACTCTGTCTCAAAAAAAAAAAAAAAAGAATGCTCACAGCAGCATTATTTATAATAGCCAAAACATGACAACAATTCAGATACCCATTAACATTAGAATGGATAAATAAATCGTGGTGAATAACATAATATCATACACCAATGGACATGAACAAACAACCCAATGTGGATGAAACTCACAATGTTGAGAGAACAAAAGAATATACAAAACACTAGGCAATATATGTATGAGTTGGCACACGTGTGTATGTGTGTGATATATATGACCTTTGTAGTCAGGTAATGAATACCTTTGAGGATAATAGAGATGTGCATTGGGAGGGAACATGAGGGGGCTTCTGTGTGCTATGATGCTCTATTTCTTGGCCTGGATAGGTGATAGATACTTGGGTGTTTACTTTGCAATAGTTTGCTAAACTCTACACTTTAGATTTGTCTACTTTTACGGTGTATGATATATATCAACTTAAAGTTTTTTAAAAGGCACCCCCGCCTCCAAAAAAAGGCAAAACTAAACTATTAAATTTAGGGATGTATTCTTTGGCATTAATACAACTCTAAAGAAAAGCAAAGTTATATAAAAGTTAGAATAAAATCTATCTTTTGGGGGGTGGGAGGAGAAACAGTGCTTGGGAGTGGACCCAAGGGCCTTCCGAGTGGCTGTAATGACACATCTTGACCGGACAGGGATTACGCAGACAGTTACTTCATGACAAATCACTGAGTTGTACATTTATTTTGTGCACTTTTCTGTGAGTTATATTTCACAATGTAACAGTATATAAAACAACCTCAGTAGATGGGTTTAACAGCAGATTAGACACAGCTGAAGAATTACACGAACTGAGAGGTTAGAAGACATTATCCAGAAAGCAGCATAGAGATGAAAATATGGAAGAAAGGCTAGAAGACATGCACATGGGAGGATGAAGCGCAGCATGTATCTAATCAGAGTTCTAGAAGGAAAAGAGAAGGGGGAAGAAGCAATATTTAAAGAAGTAATGGCAGAGAATTTTCCAGAACTGATAACAGAGACACTAAACCACAGATTCAAAAAACTTAACAAATCCATAGCAGCATAAAAAAAAAGAAATCCATACCTAGGACAGTGTAGTGCAACTGAATAACACCAAAGACACCAAAAAAAAAAAAAAAATCTTAAAAAGCAATCAGAGGAAATAAAAGAGAGATTTCTTTTAAATGAGGGACAAACTGTTGAGCTAATGTCTCAACAGAAATAATGGAAGCTAGGAGACAGTGGAATGGAACCTTTAATAGGCTAAGAAAAAATAACCATCAACCTAAGTTCTATGCTCACATAAAATACTGTTTTAGAATGAGAACAATGTAATTTACCATATTAACAGAATAAAAATAGAAAAGTCATATGATCTCTACAGATGCACAAAAAGCATTTGACAAAATTCAACATCCATTCATGATTAAAACTCCAGGCAAACCACAAATAACAGAGAACTTCCTCAACCCAATAAAGGGCACCTATGAAAAAGCTACAGCTAACATACCTGTTGGTGAAAGACTGAATGCTTTTCCCCTAAAATTGGAAACAAGAGAGAGATGTCTGCTATCACCACTTCTACTCAACATTGTATTGGAGGATCTAGCCAGTGCAATCAGGCAAGAAAAAAGAATAGAGGGAGGCCGAGGCGGGCAGATTGTTTGAGCTCAGGAGTTCGAAACCAAGAGCAAGACCCCGTCTCTACTAAAAATAGAAAGAAATTCACTGGACAACTAAAAATACACAGAAAAAAATTAGCCGGGCATGGTGGCGCATGCCTGTAGCCCCAGCTACTCGGGAGGCTGAGGCAGGAGGATCGCTTGAGCCCAGGAGTTTGAGGTTGCTGTGAGCTAGGATGA